CTTATGATGGATCTCAGAAAAAAAAAAAAAAAAATGTTAAACTGCTGATGATGCTCATAAAACTTGTCTTATTGACCAGTATAAAGTGTTTTGAGCACTTTCATGCTGCTTTTAGCTGGATACACATCATAAATAAAGTCAGGAATGTGTCATATGCTGTTGGTGCTATTTCAAAAAATAAATAATTGTTTACCATTATTAGCCATTCAGTTCTATAGTTAAAATAAAGAGAAATATCCAATAGATTTTGATAAAAAAAAAAAAAACGGCTTAAATTTTTGTATTTTAACCCCCTCAAACACTTTTTTTTTTGCCTGCAGGTTGAATAAACTAAGCTTTAAAAGGACTGTAATAGATGCATGCAATTATCAACAGTTTATAAGTTGATAAGAACTAGACATGTGCATTCTCGTCATTCTTCCCATATTGAAAAGTTACTGTGATAACTTGAACTTGTTTTCCCCTTCTTATCAACTATCTGTCAAGCTATTTTACCTGCAGTGATAGCTTTGCAGATCTGCGATAAAAAGAAGCCAACTGAATAAAGAGCCAAGCCCAGTGGAGTTTCACTCTTGGATTATGGGTCACTCTCTCACGTGTATTATATTACCTGCAGAGACTAGTCTTTATCAACGCTGCAGATAAACAATCAAGCTGTACTCCAACTCTATTGTCACTTGTGTTCATCTCTCGGCATTTTTTCTGCTTTTTTTTTCAACCTTTGTGATCTTTCTTTGAAACTTTATTTCAAATTCAAGTTTTTCTTCTTTCCTCTTTTAAACTTTTTTTTCATCTTTTGTTTGTTCTTTGTTTTGTTACATGTTTTTTTTTTTCTTTCAAATGTTTTCAAATCTTTTTTACAGTCTGTTTAATTCCTTCTTTTGAACTTTATTTCATTATTGTTATTTCCTTAAACCTCTTTTAAACAGTATTTTGATCTTTTATTGTTTTGATTTGTTCTTTGAGTTTTTGTTATAAACTTTTTTCTTTCAAATGTTTTCAGTCTTTTTTACAGACTCTTAAAAATTATTTTAATCTTTGATTCTTTGAAGTTTTGTTGCATTCTGTATTGTATATATATTTACATTTACATTTAGTCATTTAGCAGACGCTTTTATCCAAAGTGACTTACAAATGAGGACAATAAAAGCAGTCAAAACTAACAAAAGAGCAACAATATACAGTATAAGTGCAAATGACAAGTCTCGGTTAGCCTAACGCAGTACACGTAGCAAGGTATATATACAGTATATATATGTATGTATGTATGTATGTATATATATATATATATATATATATAT